TTATTATTATTATTATTATTATTATTATTATTATTATTATTACTGTTATTATTATCATTTATTCAATTTTCATTCGCAATTTTATTATTTTTTTGCCGAACCATTCGATTCAATCGAAGCACTTCAACAGGTTATCTTTTCACTCACTGAGAGTGAGCGATTCCCTGAAAATTATTTCATCAAAATTCTTTGTGGATTTGAATATTGTTTGCGAACTATCGTAATCGTAAAGTATGACGGCTAAAAATGTGAATACAAATTGCTCATTGAAGAAACAATGCAATGGTTCCGGAAATGATTTATTGAGTTTGATTTGCAAATGAGCATATTCAGGAAATGAATTGATTCAAAAAACGATTATAATTGCAATGAACGGGACTGGTTTCGTTGTGGACATCTCATGATGAATCTGATTGTTGCGTTTGCATAGCTGCACTCAATGAGAACGTTGAACTGGATCTTAAAATAGAAAGTTTTAATGAGGTGCGCAAATCAATGCTAATTAATGCGATTGTGGGTTGTTTGTGCCTGAATTATGGATCTCAGTGCTATTGAAGATATAATGAAATTTAGTGTGGGGTTAGTGAAAATAAGATGAAGTATTAGAATGTGCTTTTAGATAATGCGTTCGTTCGGATAGAGCACAAATCAAGAAGCGATAACTAAGTGTGAATAGTGAACGACGTAAACATTGATTCGTTGATGTAGAGGTTTATTATGAGCTGTTTAGCGATCGTTGTGTGACGGGATGATAGCAAGCCACCCATACGTTTAACGTTCAGCCGTTATTCAAATCTGATAATCATTCAACGTTTCTATTTTAGAACTGAAGTATATATCTGAAGATGGATGGCTCAAATAAAAAGGGAGGCCTAGGCAACCCAATTTTTCCGGATACGACCGTGAATATGATGTTGAAAGATGGATAGGCTAAACTTCTAAAGTTTAGTTCTAGGCAGAATAGACGTTTGGTTGAATAGAGAGAGGGATTGGCACTATTCTCAGGATTATATGGTGTAGATGTCAGTGGAGATATGAATCGCAAACTGATTTATGTTTTTCTTTTAGCATTATAACACGGCTCCATCGAAAACATATCATGTTGGTTGTGTGCCTTCATACTTCATACGACATCCACTTCGATTGACTGTTTCTAAATTTCATCATCTTCTCAGATATAATTCACTTGTTTTTGTTTACCGTAT